GTTGGGAGAATAATTAAATTGAAGGGTGAGGATGTGTTTTCAGAAAGGGAAATTGAATCATCATCATCAAATTCATGTGAATTGCAGAAGTAGATATAAAATACCTAGTTCTGTAGGGACAATTGGTTGCCTTGCTCCGAGATTAGGGTTTTTCTTCTGCTTTTCTTCTTTTCATGTCTCTTAGTGTTGAGTTTTACAGTTTCACTCCTTTCTCTTCTTACATTTTAAGCATCTCCATTGTTATTCTACAAACTTTGCAAATTGCATCATCTCCGATTTATTTTTCTAATTTGTGAGCCTCCGTATGTGGTGAAGGCAATACATTGGGAGATGGGAGATTGATCTATGATAAAGAAAAGGAAACATACACGAGAGGAGAGAGATATAAGAAGTGAGAAACTAAAAAGGGTTAGTTAAATGGAATGGAGAAGTGGCAAATCCTTATTGGGCCATGTTAGCTTGGAGGACAATTCTTGTCCTGATAAGGCAGGACCCAAGCATTACGAACCTCTCTCTTCCGTCAAACAAACCTCTGCAAAACTCAGCAACAAAAATGCCGAATCAAACCACCCCCACCTATCTTAACTCCAAATCAAACTCATTTTGCTTTCTAGTTAGTATATATAACTATATATATATATATATACAATGGATTGGGTTTATATATATATATATATATATATATCAAACTCAATGCGCCAGTTTACTACAAAGATCAAACTCAATCCATTTATGCATTGATGTGCGAGTATACCAAAGGGAAACCCAATCCATTTCTTGCATATATATATAGAAAACCCAAATCGAAACTCATGGAATTGAGTGCTGATCTTCTGGATTTCCTTTGATACCACAAAAGTGAGCTTGCCACTAAAGATTGATTTTTAGATTGGAAAGCTCATTGTTAACCAATGTTGCATGGTCATGGTCGTCGAATCCGTCAAACACATGGCCATGTTCCCAGTCGACACCCTCAAAATCCACATGCAGACAATTGGGTCTTCGTACCCATCTTCAGACCTCACTCTCCGGCCATCCTTTGGCTCCATTCTCAAGCTTGAAGGCCTTGCCATCTTCTATATCGCGGTATCACCGCCATGGGTCTCGATATCAAAATAAGAGTTTTGGGGTTTGAGTTAGTCGACGAGCATGAGGCAATGAAGATATCGGGGCTTCAATTTTGACAGAGCATTGGAAATTAATGGTTCACAGAGAGGGATGGCGTCGACGATGGTGGTTTGGCAACCTTTATTCCACCGCCAATTGCTCCTCTGTTTCTTCGAATTTGGGCCGGCAGTTCCGTGTGAAATATATATATATATATATACACACACACACATATACATATACACATATTTTTTGTGGTGATGGATTGTGATGGTGGCGGTTGTGGCAGCTATGGTGGTAGAGGTGGAGATATAATAGGAATAGAAATAGGGGACAATGGGTAGAGATAGATATGGAAGAAGGTAAGGGTAGTTTGGTTCTCTAGAATTATTTGTAAAGGTCAGAGGGTAAAAATGTCAATTTTTTATATGTCAGATGTGGCAAGTGATGAAAGGGGTGTCTTTATTAACTTTATCAAACCTGAGGGGTTATCATTGTTTAAAAAAAGACCAACTTTCATTTAGTTATCAATAGGACAAACCTCAAGAGGTGTGAGTGTAATTAACCCTACAAAAATAAATACTGTTTAATCCATTAAATTTTGAGGGAGTGTTTATTTGATTTATAATCCTAAATATGAGTTCCTAAATATGAGTTTTTAAATTTTGAGAACACAAAAATAAAAAAATAAAAAGAGTTCAATTTAAATAGAATTTAAACATGTGGCATAAATTTTATTTATTTGGTGTAATTGTGTAAATTTTGGAATAGTATTTATTTAATCTATATTTCTAAATATGAAATTTTAAATTTTAAGTAGGAAAAGTAACGAAAAAATTGAATTGAAATTTAAATGGGATAGAGAAGGGAATTTGCAGGATTATTTGCTAAACGATTTTGGATAAGACACGAGAAAAGACCTCTCACCTAAAACTGCATGGTAGACGAGTTTAGGGGAGTTTTTGATTTCATGATCAACAAACTCATAGTCAATGTAATCAACAATTAGCTTAGATATATTTGTGCAACCTCATAGTTAATATTCTTTTTTAATTATATTTATTAAAAAAATAATTATTTAATCACAAGACACCAAAGATTATTTCATAAAACAGTGAATAAAGTTTTATTAGATTTAGTTTAATATATAGAGAATATTTTTTATTTTTTACTTTTTTTTATAGAACAATGATAAATCTCGGCTCTTCCAAGAGACTACCATTAATGCGATAATGGAAGACTAAGTTGACACAGCTCATATTGTACAAAGAATTTCTTTTCGTTTTTTTGGTACACCAGTATAGTGTGTGTGTGTGTGTGTATATAGGTGTATAAGTGTTTACAGAACCCAACGAAATGGGGATAGCCCATAAGGCATGGTTAACCCAAGGGCCAAAAATAATTAAAAGGGATAATTTCACTGACACTCCCCGTAGTTTGGCCAAATATCAATTTAAAACATCTTTCGAAAATAACTATCAATTAGGTCCAATTTCACTATTCCGTTACCGTCTTCGTTAAAAACGTGTGAAAAGACATGTTTGCCCTTAATTTTTTAATCACATTTAATACAAAATACACCAGCTACTTAAATGACCATTATACCCCATATATATATATATAACAATCACGTGTATCTATATATATATGTGTGTGTGTGCGTGTAACTGCGACGCTGACGGCGAAGGGAGATCGGTTGGGCACTGCAGTGATGGCCGAACCAGAGAGTGCGGGAGGGTCGCCGGACGGTGGTGTTTTGGGGGTAGGAAGACGCCGAACCATAGGTTGCTGCGCCGTCGACTGTGGGTCACTATCGTGCGTCGCGGGTAACAGTCTTCTCGCCGGCAGTTTGCGTGGCCGTCATGTGTGGATTGTCTGTGTGGGACAGCGGGTCGTGTTCTCCTACGGCCACGGTTTGTTGGAACTTATTCTAGCACCAAACTTTTCAAGTACCTCATCATCACTAAAACTACCCATAGAGTTGGAGTTCTCCATTTTCTTGATGGACACCAAATTCACATTTTCCAGATGAGTCTGTTGAGATATTTCATGCTCTGATTCGGATGGACCTTCGTCCTTCGAGAATGAAAACCAATCATCCTGAGTTCTTTAACTAGTAGATTCAGAATGACACCTTCCATATCCAAGTCTCTCTGATTCTGTAAGAATTCTCTGTGCTGAAAAAGACCTCTCCGAGTAGTTCCCAAACCCTTCAATCCCTCCACTTAGCTTCCTAGCTTTATCCTTTTCTTGTTTGAGAACAGACCCTTTTTCAAGCAGCTTCAGTATTCTCTCGGATTTCTTTCTAACATTAAGTCCCCAATTGAATCTGCAAATTAAATTTTAGAAGCTCATGATAACAATCATAGTACTATAATAACAAATAAAAATAAAATAAAATAAATAAAAATAAAAAAACCCCAAATGAGGAAAATGAAAAAAAGACCCTTTCTCATCAATATAGTGAAAGCTTCCCATCTCACAGATAACATCTTTGTCACTCTGAAACTCCTCTGCAACACTCTCTGGTCCATGGGTCAACAAGTATTCAAGCACAATCAGAGCCTTGTATGAAAACCTCCAATTCTTCGTGTCAAACCTACCCAATCTATTGCACAAAAAATCAAATTCAATAACACAAAAAACACACATAAAAAACACAGACATCAAGAAAATGAACAACTATTATTAACCCTCCATACATCTATCTAAATCATGAGCAAGATGATGAGACTCTGAGGCTACCGACATTAGAGAGCACCATAACGACACATCATACAAATCCAACAAAAACCCATTCGAAACCTCCATTATTTCCGGCTAACAACATATAACTACATCACCAACAGTTTCGGCATTACAAAACAGACCTACATCATTCTAGCGAGCTGTATGACATTGAAAACAGGTCGTAAACAGAACAGTTTCTAACCGGTATCGTGCAATTTTCTGGCAGTTATTCTCGTCGGATTCTCGCTACCACGTCGTCGTCGTCGTCGATAACGGAAGCCCCACACCATCCTCAGATTTTCGTCGGCAGAGCCACGTGCCTTCATCGTCGCCGGAATCCGGAATCTTCATCAGTCGTAGTCGTCATCGTCAACTGTGGCTGCCAATCATCGTCGTTCTCTATAGTCGTCATTGAAGTGACGTGTCACTGTTTGGCCCCAAATAATAAGGTGAAATAAAAAAAATATGGTCAGCAACCAATAGGACGTAGACACATGGGTGAATTGAAATAATATGTGAAGGTATAAATGGGTAAATATGTCATCTGAATGAGGGTAAATATGTCATTTCAATCATTAAAGAAATACTTAAATAGGTCAAATCAAAGTCAAAGGGTAAGAATGTCTTTTTACATGTAAAAAGTGGTCTGACACACCTTTTAACTAACTTTTGGGGTGTGAGTGAAAAACGGAGCAAACGTTTGTAACGTGAGTGATAATTATTTTCGAAAGATATTTTAGACTGATATTTGGTCAAACTTCAAGGGGTGTCAGTGATATTATCCTTAATTAAAAACAAGCTAATGTTTATTATTAATTGGGCTTAATGCGGTAAACACTAACTATTACTCAATTCATTGCTTTTTCAATTAAGTGAATTTGATAATACATTTTAAATATAACTAAAAATATCGCTTCAAATGTGGAAAAATTTAAAGGACCAGAAAGATCACTTATCCTGAAAATTTAAAAAAATTGGAGTATCAAAAAAATATTTATTTTTTTAATTATTTATATTGTTTAAACTAGTAATGATATTTTATGTGATGCCAATTTCAATTTATCCTAGGACAAGGTTATTCCAATTTAATAAAAATTTAGTATTATTTAACCAATAAAAACAGAGATTTAAGGAAAAAGGTAACTTCCTAACCAAACAATCCCTCAGTTCTTGACATTGATGGTGATAATGCCTTTCCTTTTGGGTACGACCAGCTTGAGAACACCGTTCCTCATCTTGGCCCGGATCTTCTCCTTCTCATATTCATATTCAGGAAAAGGAATTGACCCAAAGTACTTCCTCGGACCGTCCATTTTGTTGTCGTACTCTTCTCCTTCTTCTTCATCATCAGATTCATAATCCTCTTCTACTGCCATGATATTGAGACGATGGTTTTCAACCCAAACCCTTAAATCTTCCTTGGAGATACCTGGTAAGTCCACTTTCAACTCAAACCATTCATTTGTGTGTTTATTGACATAAGGGACCGCCCTTCCTCTTACCAGGAATGGATTCTTCAAAGGACTACCTGTAATCATTCAAATTCAACTTATTTTATATGTGTGTGTGTGTTGTGTGTTAGAACTTAGAAATCATGTATTTGAGTTTTTTTCTGGTTACCTTTGGGGTAAGGGGCATCGGAGTCATTAGAATCGGAGTCTGAAACTGTATCTGAAACTCTTTTAATCAATGCCGAACGAGCGACCAAAGTTGTAGAGGAGCGCCTCGAAATGGGAGGGAAGGGTTTCGCCAAATGGGTGGGGAGAAGGGTTGAGAACGTGGTGGGGAGAAGGGTTGAGAACGCCATTGTTGAGCACTACTGTAATTGCCTGAGGAGGCCTTATTATATAGCATGACGGTGGGGTGGTATATATATATATTTTTTAGGGTTTTGGGACTTTAGTGATTAAAACAAGGGCTGATCATCGATCGGATGGGTTCGATTTGGGATAAAGTTCAATTTAATCCGGTTCCCATAAATTGGTAAAATTTGAACCCGAACCGATTCGTGGGGACCTTCAATCCTCGGTTCAGTTTTCACGGATTTAACTTTTCAAACAACCCAATATGATTACACTTTATGATCCATTAAAATCTCAAATTCGTAATTAACAGATTGGCAGATTATTTGCTCACCCCTAATTAAAACCCGTGAGACTTGATAGTATTTTATCTTGAATTTTGGAAGGCTTCAAAATCTATATTATTCTTTATTATATTTTATCTTTAACATAAATTTAATTATTAATTTTTTTTACTTCCATATTTCAAAGTAAATTTGTCAAAGTTAATACCTTACGGCTAGATATGTTCATATTGGGTTCGTTTTCAGATCACATGGACAGATCTGTTGTTTTCTCCGACTAGATTTGATCTTTTTTCTCCTTGATTTGATCTTGTGCATTGTTTCTTAGGTGTCAGAGCGCTTTGTGGCCGTACTTTTAGAGTTGTTGCCTTGATAATAGCTTAAGCTTTGGGTTACTCTAGTTTGTTGCGTTTCTCCCCTGGTGGTTCCGTTGCCGAGTTTTCGGTTATGTTTTCTCCACAGATCTGGAGCATATTCTTCATATTATTGCTTTGCTTCATGATTTGTATACCTCTTCGGCCTTGACTTTTTGCCTCTGTACTACTATTGGCTTTGCTTTTATGCCTTTGAAATCATATATAATATCGTTTTCGTGAAAGTACCTTACTATAAATAATCTAATTTAAATTTTTTTTTTTTTCATAAACAATATATAACCTTAAAAAATTATTAAAATATTTCTGGTTATTCAGATTAGTAAAATATTTGTCTAAATCCCGTTTGAAAATTAATTCTCACTTTTCTGCCTTTCCATGGTTAATATCATTGATCCAAAGTTTTATGAAGGTTTATGCGATAGAATCAAATTGCTTTTCGAAATATAGTTTAATCCAATTTTGTTTAATTGGATTATTATATATATATATATATATATATATATTACCAGGTGTTGCTTATTATTTTTGGTACAATAGAATCCGTGCCTTGTTAAAATCACCTTCACCATTACTGTTATTCTCAAATTGGGCTTCTTACGCGATAGTTCCTCTTCGAGCCCGATTCTCTTAGACTGGAATCTCTCTCCTGCCTGCTGCCGTCCCCCTTCGAGGTTGTCGGACTGATAATTGCACTGGTCTTCTTCTCTAGGGCTTCAAACCAGAATGTTTACTAACAACCACTATTAACGGCCAAACAAGCGGTTAATTGCGGTTATTAGGTTGAAATTGGTTATGGGCCTCTCCTTTGTTGGGCCTCCTTTCAGGCTTTTGTTTCCATCTTCTGGATTTTTTGGGCCAATTGGCCCACCTCTTGTAATTATTCACTTTATTTATATAATTTGCTTAAAATTTCAAAAAAAAGAAAAAAGAAAAAAAAGGGAGAGGTTGAACTTAGGATTTGAACATAAATCAAAGAAGAGGACTTAATATGGATTATGTCCACTAAATTTAGGAGGAATTATATTTACTCATGAATTTTTTTTATTAGTGAGCCTAGCTGAGAACCAAAATTGCAACTGACCCATTTTAATTACCAGTCCACAAAATTAAATAATACATCCAAGTTCTTGCCAGTCCCAGTTAATACTTTATTTATTTAAAAACACAGACTTAACGGTTAGTTAACGGCACAAGAGTGTTTGTTTCAACGTTACAAGAATAAAAATGGCGCACGTTAGCAACCTCCAGTATCTTTTCTTGATTTCCAAACACAAGAGATCGAATTCCCTAGAAAGTGACAGAAAAGAAAGAAATTGAAAATAGGAGAAGCAATGTTTTACTTCAATGTTTAAACCAAAAAGTACTTCATTCATCCAGATTTTTCAGTATGTAGCAGTGACAGATTCACAAACGCAGAAATGAAGAAACCTAACCAACCAACTATAATTGAAAGCAAATTACAGAGAAACAAACACCACTAACAAGAGATCGAAATAGAGCCACCAAAAGAAACGACTGAGAAAGTAGAAATTTGATCAGTCGACATTGACAAGGAAAACATCATTCCTGTCTTGGAGCTTGAGCTTGGGGACGACGACCTTGAGAACACCATTTTTGAGCTCTGCTCTGATCTGATCCACGGAGAACCTTTCCTCAGGAGGAAGCTCGATAGCACCCAAGTAAATCCTCAGACCTTTAAAGCCATCGTCGTCCCCTTCGTCATCATCATCATCAGATTCAACTTCATCACCATTTCGGTGTTCTTCTCCTTTGAAATGGAGAATGTTGCTTTTAACCCAGACCCTCAGATCTTCTTTTGAGAGACCTGGCAAATCAAACTTTGCCAGATACCAGTCTTCTCTTTCTTTCGTAAGATAAGGGGCGACCCTTCCTCTCACAAGAAATGGGCTCTCCAAAGGATAACCTGTACTCGTAATTCAAATATTTATACACAATATATATATATATATATATATATATATGTGTATGAGGAGGCCTGATAGGACATGGGCCGGATATGACTTGCAAACGCGGCATTGAGTCCGTACAGGTGGGTCAGGCCCATAAAAAGGCACTATCATATGGGCCGAACGCGCATAGGCCCATCAAAGAGGACCGGGACTCATGAAGGAACGGGCCTAGATCCAGCAATCCATCGACATTTGTAAATCTCTATAAATAGGAGGAGTAAGGTAAAGAAAGGGGGATCTTTTTGGTTGAGATATAGGAATTCTAGAGAGAGAGTGGGAGAAGGAATTTCTTGTATCTTCAATTGGCGCCGTCTGTGGGAATCGAACTCCCCCATGAAGACCCGTTGGTAGTCAGTTTGACAGTGGCGGACTGCTTGGTGCGCAGAGTTCTGATCGATCCCGGGAGCAGTGCGAATGTCATGCCGAGGGACACATTTGATCGGCTCGAGATTAAACCAGAGAGGCTCAAGCCCACTGGAAATCCCCTGTTAGGGTTCGATGGCAAGAGGGTGGAGCCCGTCGGAATGGTGGAAGTAGAAGTTCAAGCTGCAGAATGGGCTCTTATGGAAACTTTTGTAGTTGTAGAAATTCACCCCTCGTATAATCTCCTGATGGGAAGAGGATGGATTCACAGAATCCAAGGTGTACCCTCAACTCTGCATCAGGTCATGAGGTGCCTTGGACCCGATGGAAATAAAGTGATAGACATTCGGGGGGATCAGGTTGCAGCCAAAGAGTGTTATTCCGTCACACTAAAGTATGCTGGAAAGGGAAGGCGTCCGTCCGACCGGCAAGCCCCAGATAGCAATTACAGGATCCTCCGCCCGAGCAAAACAGGGTGGAGGAGTCAGTTGACTTGACCGAAGAGCTCCTTCTGGATGTGCAGATCGATCAGTCCAGGCCAGAACGAACTACCAGAGTAGGAATAAGACTGACCAGAGAAGAGCAGCAAGAGCTAGTGGACTTCTTGTCCCGCAATGCCGACGTATTTGCATGGAGTCACCTAGACATGCCTGGAATTAATCCCTCCGTATCCTGTCATTCCCTGAATGTCAATCCCAATTTCAAACCAGTGAAACAGAAGCAACGAAGATTTGCTCCAGAACGCAATCAAATCATAGCGGAAGAAGTTGATAGGCTGCTTGATGCGGGATTTATCAGAGAAGTACACTACCCTGATTGGTTGTCCAACGTCGTTGTCGTGCAGAAGAAGAATGGGAAATGGCGAGTATGCATTGATTTCACCAATTTGAACAAAGCCTGTCCGAAGGACAGCTTCCCGCTGCCTAAGATTGATCAAATGGTGGATGCGACCACCGGGTATGAGCGCTTAACCTTTCTGGACGCTTATTCAGGTTATAATCAGATCCCTATGGACCCCGCAGATGAAGAAAAAACTTCTTTTGTAACCGAGCGAGAAACATACTGCTACAAAGTTATGCCTTTCGGACTAAATTCATCCAAAAAAAAAAAGTGATGCAACAGGTCATTTGGGGTTGTCTTCTATACAAAATATCTATACAAAAGATGACAACTGCAATACGTATACTCGCATATGGTTGTGCAGCCGATCATTGTGACGAGTATATTAAAATCGACGAAAGTATTGCCATTGAAACCCCGATGAGATTTTGTAAGGTTGTTATTGGTGTGTATAGGGAAGAGTACATGCGCCCACCTAACGAAGCCGACATAGCATGACTACTTCGAGAAGGGAAGGAGAGAGGATTCCCGGGTATGCTTGGTTCTATCGACAGTATGCACTGGGAGTGAAAAAATTATCCGGTAGTGTGGCATGGCAGGAACAAAAGACGCTCTCATACGCCTATGCTCATATTGGAGGCGGTTACCATAAAAGATTTGTGGATCTGGAATGCATTATTTGGAATGCTGGGTTGACATAATGATATTAATGTGCTGGATCATTCTCTGGAATTCGACAATATCGTTACTAGCCAAATTCCTCTGGTTAACTTCATTGTAAATGGCCATTACTATAGAATGGGGTATTACTTATATGATGGTATATACCCTAAGTAAGCAACTTTGATGCGGATCATCCCGCATCCAATTACAGCAAAATTAAGGAAAACTTTTTGCTTAGAGACAAGAGGCCTGTAGGAATGATGTGTACAAGCTTTTAGGGTCTTGCAGATCAAATGGGCAATAACCATTGTGTTTTTGGGATAAAAGGGACTTGTGATAAATAATTATTTATTTATTGGCCAATATGTATGAAATCTTATAAACAATATAATATCTAATATTATTTGATTTATTAATTTATAGCGGTGATAACAAAGACACATTTTTTTAATAAAAAAACTCATATGTTAAAATAAATTTCAATTTGTTAGGGGGCAAAAAAAAAAGTTGTTTGGTTAGCCAATATAGCCGTTAAGGCACTGTTTGGATTAGCCAAACAGTACCTAAAACGGTTATAATGTCAATAGGAACATTGAAAATTTTTAAATAGAAAAAAATAACTTCTTTTCAATTTTTCAAAACTTTATTTTGCCCAAAAAGAGCATTGAAACGGCTCTTTGGTGCTACTATTTTGAAGTAAAAAAAAAAAAAAATTAAAAAAAAAGCCAAAAATTTAATTTTTAACTTTTATTTCAGTAAAACATGACCTTACAAACAGTGTTGTGGACTAAAACAACGACATGGGAAGCGAATATATTTCACTACCTCATAGAATGACTCCTGAATTGGTAATTTGTAAGTAAAGACTAAAGATCGAAACACAAATTTTCAAAGGCTACTAAGAACAATCTCTAAAAGATGCCATAAAACATTATTGTAAATTTTTAAGGAAATAAACTGTATTTGAGAAGGGATAGGCGAAAATGGTATCCGATCACATCCATAAGGAGGATAAGAGATTCGTATCCCACAAAAACGGCTGGTTATCCATTTTTGTGAATTTTTTTGATTTTGGTAGATATAATTTTTGCTGCTGTCAAAGTTATTACGGTACTTTTTGCGTGTACATTGCTTTGACCAGACTAACTAGGAGTTTTAAGGGAATGTATTTTGTAATTTGAGTCACAAACTTATGACATTACCTTAAATTTTGTAGTTATTATTTTCTGTTGGTTAAGGGTTGAATTTAAAAAATGGCACCAAATGTGTGACACAAATTTTACTTAATAAATCATTTTAGTAGACACAGTTTTTTTAGATTCAACATAAGACATACTGCACAACAATTGATGTATCGACTTAGAGTTGGAGGAATGCAAGAAGAAAACAATATCCAATTCACAAGAACATCTTCAAATCAATGGAACTCATGATTGGAGCATTTCTACAAACAACTATTAATGTATGAGTTTTAGAGTAACAAAACATCTCCAATCACCTCCAAAATAAAACATTCATTCAATATTCAAAATAAGAAATGTTTCAATAGCATAGCAGCATTGATATAGATTCGAAAAGTAAAGTCGTTTAAATCTAACTTTCAAAATACACTAAGACGAATACGTGTGAATCTGATACACATGCTCGTCAAAAAAAATAAATAAATAAATTTGACCTATAAACAGAAATCAAAAATGAAATCAATATTTAATAAGGCATTTCTCCATCAAATCGAGTTGAAGCTTTCTGATGACCTTGGCATCTTCGGTGAGTGGAATAGTAACCCAGAGGACACCATGTTTCACATCTGCCTTGAACTCCTCCATATCGCACATTTTTGAGAGGACTGGAATGACCCTCTCTCATACTCATACTCATACTCAGGTTCGCTCTTCATCTTTCCTTCGAATGCTATGTCTCTCTCCTCGTTCACCCACAGTCTCAGACCCTCTGAGATTAGACCTGGCAGGTCAACCCTCATCACTACCTCCCTTCACCCCACATTCTACGCCAGAAGACCTTTCTCGGCTGACCATCCAGATTATTAGCCACTCCTATATATATATACATATATACAGATCAGTTAATCAACACACTACTCAATCATATAGATATAGATTGTAAAGGAAACAGTAGTTATATAAGAAGATGAGTACCGAAGGGGTTTTTGGTATACGCATCCATGGAGGGACTATGCCTGGTACTGTACAGGCGGCGTCAATGGATGGAGCTTTTTTATATGATACTAATGGGATGTGACCGTATCACGTGAGATGAATTTTGTTTGCCAACAGCTGGCAAGAGGAAAATACTTGATGATGGTTTCCTAGCCGTTGGATGGTTCCCTGATTGATCGTACACTACAGTGACTTGAAAATAACAAGTTACTGTATGACTATAATAAATTTCAAGAATAATAGATGAATATTTTTTACAATTTTGATACTATATACTGTGTCACATTTGTACAAGACAACAAACTCTTATTGTAACTTGGATACTATATACTGTGTCACATTTGTACAAGTACAACAAACTCTTATTGTGTTGTTTTTAAAGTCTTAACATTTCTTGGAAAAAAACAACAAATTTTTTATTTTATCTTTTAATGAAAAAAAACCTTTTAAGTTGACATTTCTAAGGGAGGGACACACACACGGGTACCAACTCCATCTTTCCATTTTGAAAAAAAAAAGATTTTTTATTTTTTTATTTTGATATTAGTATCACTAAAATTGATTACAAATCAAAGAAATTTTGAAACTTAAGTTGTATTTGACGACATAGAATTGTTACTTTGAAATTAAAATTGATAAAAATGGTAAATTTTTATTTAATTTTTTGAATTATTTTTATTTAATTTCAAATCTACAATTTCAAAGCGACTGTATATTATTTTTTTAATCATAATATTCAACTTTTTAAATTATTTTTCTTCAATTTTAAATCTCCAATTTGCAAGACAAGTGTACATTGTTTTTTTAAACCAAACTAGTAACTCTTTTGTGTCATTGTCTGCTTCCGGAGACATGGGTCGGAGGTAATGGGTAAATAGTATAGTTAAAAAACACAGGACACTCTTCCTCCTCAAATCTCAATTGAGTCACACCCTTATAAGATTATCTTAAATTATGCATATCCATGTTGGTTAAGAGTCAAATTTAGAACATAGCTCTATTGTGAAACAAATTTTACATAATTAACCAAGAAAAATGATAATTACACTCTAATTTTTCCAACTCACATTTCTTTTCCATTTTTTCTACATTATCACTCTATGAGCGCACAGCAAAAGTTAAACAATAAAATAAAGGAATAGCAACAACAAATATCTATAAAATAAAGGAATAGCAACAACAAATATAATTAATTAGCACTAATTAACTTTCTTCATTGCACGATTCATCCCCAAAAGAGATTCATACATTCAACATATAATATATATATATATATATATATCCGAAAAACAAACACAGAAAATAAGCAGACAGAGATCGAAATTAAAGGACCCAAAAAGCCAGCATCGATTAATTGAATTGAAACCCAAAACCCCCAAATCGATGAGAGGATGGATCAAACCTTCTCATCCCCTTTCTGATCCAACAATTCATCACTTTTCTTCTTCAATCTGATTTTCTCCTTGGTCGTGAGCGGCGAAGTAATCCAGAGAACGCCATGGATCACCTCCGCCTTGAACTGCTCCACATGACAGTCCGGACACACTTCAATGGTGCCTTGGTACAACCGTCCCTTGTACTCGTATTTGGGTAGGCTCTTGCTTCTTCCCTCATACTTTATTTCTCCCTTCTCGTTCACCCATATTTTCAGATCCTTTGAGTTTAGACCAGGCACATCGATCTTGGAGCACTTGTAACTGTCATCCACCACTTTCGACTCAAGATCAATCACTCCTGTATGAATATATATATATAACAATACACATATGAAATATACATATGTATGTTTATAGATGATATAGATTGTAAATGGAACAGTATTACGGTAGAAACTTAGGTGAGAAGATGACCACCTTCATTGGAGGGATGGACTTCTTCATTGGAGGAATGACCTGTACAGAACGAGTGAGCGCCGGCAGAGGGAGAGAAATTATTGAGGCGGTGGTGGTGGAGGCGGCGGAGGGAATTGGAAAACAGCCTTGACACGGTGGCGAGAGGCCTTGAAGACGCCATTGATGGAGCTTTTCTTTTCTAGGGTTTATGAAGAGAGAGAGAGAGAGAGAGAGAGCGCTTTTATGGAGAGAGAGAGCGCTTTTATGGACTTGAAATGGTTTTTCAATTAAGTTTTGGGTCACAATGTAGCGTTTGTGTTACGAGGGTACTTGATGGGATTGGGTAGCGAGCTGTGTGTTGGTACATTTTAATAGCTTAAATTTTTAAGTTGGATCCAAAGCATTTAAGTCCATTATAGATAATATTGGAACAGTCTTATTCATTATAATTAATTAAGAAGAGTCATGTTGGGCTATTAAATTAATGTAATAGGAATATTTTACAATATAAATTCACCTTTAATCCCTTGTGAAAAAATATTTGCCTTTTTGACTGAATTGATATGACAAGAAACAATATTAACACAAGGTTTGGACCAATTGATTAATCTTCTTTTTTTCCGTCCTCTAAAATGAAGACAAAGGCATGAAATCTGGAGGAGGACTTACTACGAATTCCGTGTTTTGTTTTAGGTACACAGAGATTCAATTGTATATTATTAATAGAGATTAGAAACTCTTTTTGACATAAGTATATATATTTGGAATATAATACTATTCAATAATTCAAGCTGAATTAATAAATGTTCAATTAATCACGTCTCTAAATTATAGGATTAAACTTAAAAAAAAAAAAAAAAACTACTATAGGATTAAACAGTATTTATTATTTTTTTGGTAAAAATAAATGTGTCCTAGTAATTTGATTATATGGTTTATACATTTCATTAGAATTAGGCTCAAGGATCAATCAATCACAAAATTAACCAATCCTGGATTAACCATCCAACGGCAGGAGCTTAAGGGAGAATCTGCCAATCCCTAAGCAACATGTGGCCACCGCCTCCACCTTCCGATTGATCTCTGGTGGATTCTATCTGTTCTGGTTTTCGAAGCTTTGGAAAGTAATGTTGGTTCTTTTTAATTTTTCTGTTCTTTTGTTTGTGTGTGAGTGTGTGTGTGTGTGTGTGAGAGAGAGAGAGATTGAAGTGTTTGAAAGGAGAAATTGGATAGAAGCTGTAGAAAAAAGCCAGATTGCTCATATTGTATAAAATTATTATACTTATTGTAAAAGTGTGAGCTTGGGAAGGTTCGTGACTGCAGAATCAGTTGACTGTCAAGAGTGATACATAGTTTAGAAGTGGTTAATTACTTCTATTTAATTTAGATTTGTACTGATCGGGCATCTTTAATTGGAAGATTAAGTCTCACATGTTTATAAAAAACCAAGATTTCATTAAATTGGAATAAGCGTGCTACAGGGTCAAATAAGCGTCCTATTTGGTCAACCTCCTTTGCTATCACGAGGACACTGTCCTGAGGTGTTAGTGGGACAAATATACACAACACCTTTTTTCCGCATACAAATCGGATGCAACACCAATTTGGACTATTCAATCTTCCTATACACACACACACACATATATATATAAATTGGAGAGTTTAAAAGGGAGAGATTGGTTAGAAACTGTAGAGAAGAACCAGATTACTAATGCATTGTATATAATTATAGTACTTATTGTGTAATACCCCTAATTTTAAAAATGATATAATTGGAATTTAATTATTTTATTTTATTGTATTTTAAGTGCTTACATGGTTATGTGTTAATAAGGTGTAATTTGTTTGTATGATTTTACTTGCTTAGATGATGTGTTGCTTAATTGTAATTTTGTGTTAGGATTGAATGATTTTAATTGTTTTATTTTATTTTATATTTTAAGAAGTATGGAGATGGATAGTAGTAATGGACCAAACAACTGGGTCGCATGGACTACTTGGATAGGAGATGGAATGGGTACGAATATTACCCATTGATGGTTGTACATATATATATGGGTATAGGAGGATAATTTATTAGTTAATTATTTTTTCTTTTTATTTTATTTTATTTTATTATTAAGTTTGCAGACTTAAGGTTAAATTAGGATTAAGGTTATATGTTGTGTGTATATATATACAATAGTATAGGTCTGTGGAGGCGAAGAATATTTTTAGACGTGATTATAGTATACTTAGAAAATAAAAGAGAACAAAGAGGAGAGAAGAGAAACTGTGAGACAAGAGAGAGGGTTTGGGCCAAATAAAGAGGCTAGATCAAGAAGGAGGGTTGGGGGCTATTCTAGGGTTAGAACCAGAGTAGTAGGAGGCTTGGACAGCGGCTAAGGATCACCGGAAAGAAACTAGGAAGAAGAAATTAAGGTTTCAATCCGAAACCTAGAGGCACGTTCTATTTCTTCCTCCTTCTCTTAGACTTGTGTTCTGTGCATGCCTAGATAATCTCCTCGGTTTAATCAGCTTTTAAAACTGATCTTGTTTGCATATTAATTTAAAATTTTAACTAGATTTTGTGTTGTTAATTGGAAAATTTGATGTATCGTATCAATTGTTCATATTAAGGATTCTAAATTATCGTTAATGATGCATACTGTGTTTTATGAACTTCTGGGATTAATTGGGACATAGATTGAAGTCTATAAATCTTTATAAAATATTATAGAGGGTTCTGCATGTCGCTGGAGGTGAAGAAAATGACGGAATTAGGTAGACGGCTCTCAAGAGAGAGAGAGTCTGCACCCAATGGAGGGAGTCGGCTCCCTCATGGACAGAGCTGGCTCTCACTTGGAGGGAGTTGGCTCCCAGCACTACAGAGCCTGGTCCCAAGAGGGTAGAGCTTGCTCTAGTATTTTGAGAGCATGCTCTCATGCTGGGACTTCTACGGGATGGTTATTTTTAATACTGTTGGATTTTGGGGTTTCAGGATTGTTTTGGAGGATCATGGGGGTTTTAAATAATTATAATGAACTTGGTAAATTCCCTAAAAGCATAATTTATGTTCTTATGCTAATGTCTTGAACAATATGAAATTTTCAATGAAATTAGCATATTATTAATTGGATGATTTATTTTTGCTTAATATTACTTTAGCAATGTAAATGGATATTGGATGACGGTAATCCTATGTTGGAAGTATAATGTAATCATGTGTTATTTCTGATTCCATTATGTTAAAGGATTTAATTACTATGGAATTATAATGGAATTTGTAGGCTAGCAATGGAAGATGTAATTGCTTAAATTTATCTTAACAATTAGTATGGATATTAGATGGTTCTAATCATAGACTGATTGTATAATATGATCATGTTAATATCTGATTTTTATTATACTTAATTGTGGAACTTATTGATGTAATATCTTATTTCTTTCATCAATAATTGGATTGTATGGATGTAATGCACCGATATGGGACGGTGGCATTCTAGAGACGGATTAACCAAAGATGTTAAATCCTACCTATTTTGTATAAGGGAATGGATTAACTAAAAATGTTAAATCCTACTTAAATTTAAGTCAGATTAGCTGAATAAGTTGAATGACTAACTGGATTACTTGCTACTTATATTTAAGTCAGATCAACTGAACAAGTTGAATGACTAACTGGACTACTTATAGATAGATATGATAGAATTTGCGTATATATGATTATGGTACTATGATATGAACGTGAGTCTCATGATCGATAGTTAGAGAGCGTATATGCATTGGGATGGATAACTGGTTATGATAGGCAGCGATGTACCCTGTTAGGTCAAGGTACTCATGCCCACCTCAGGTGCGTTTTGCATGTTGCCTTCTATTCAAGTTGAGACCCCCTTTGTAGCCCAGCAAGAGTCCCTTAGTATGGATATATATATATATATATATATATATGGACTAGATAGCTATTATTGAGTTGTTTAGGATGTATCCGCGTATCGGGTCTCTGTTTAGATTGTAGTAGAGTAGAACTTGTTCATGGGCCTAACCCATTATTATTTTTTCAGGTATCGGACAGTTCCAGTCTTAGAACTAGTTCGTGCTAAGCAGAGATAGTCACTTACTCTTCCGACTACGTAGGATTATTATTTATGTTTTAGTTTTGGTTTTCCTTTTTAGATCAATTTGTTCAGTTGGAATTTTCTAGGGGTCCACATAGTGTGGATTCCCAAGTTGTATTATTTTTTAAGGATTACTTGTATCAGAAGAAATTGTTTATTAATGAAAGTTATTTTGATGATTAATTATTGGTTTATCATTTTAGTTTCTTTTCAACATTTTATTTATTCTTACATAATATATTTCTATTCTGTGTTCGATTATTACCATTTGTTTTTTATATTCTCGGTATTCGGGTGTGGGCCTGGCCAACCTGCATCAGGAAATCTGGGGGTATCACATATTGTAAAAGTGTGAACTTAGGAAGGTTCATGACTGCAGAATCAGTTAACTGTCAAGAGTGATACATAGTTTAGAGGTGGTTAATTATTTTTATTTAATTTAGATTAGTATTGATCGTGCATCCTTAATTGGAAGATTAAGTCTCACATGTTTACATAAAACCAAGATTTCATTAAATTGGAATAAGCGTGCTATAGGGTCAAATAAGCGTCCTATTTCGTCAACCTCCTTTGTTGTCACGAGGACACTATCCTGAGGTCTTGATAGTGGGACAAATATACACAACACCTCTTTTGGGCATACAAATTGGATGCAACACCAATTTGGACTATTCAATCTTCCTATATATATATATATATATATATAGAAATTGGAGAGTTTAAAAGGAAGAGATTGGTTAAAAACTGTAGAGAAAAGCCAAATTGCTAATGCATTGTATATAATTATAGTACTTATTGCAAAAGTGTGAACTTAGAAAGGTTCATGACTACAGAATCAGTTGACTGTCAATAGTGATACATAGTTTAGAAGTGGTTAATTACTTCTATTTAATTTAGATTAGTACTAATCGTGCATCCTTAATTGGAAGATTAAGTCTCACATGTTTACATAAAACCAAGATTTCATTAAATTGTAATAAGCATGTTATAGGGTCAAATAAGTATCATATTTGGTCAACCTCCTTTTTTGTCACGAGGACACTGTCCTGAGGTCTTGAAAGTGGGACAAATATACACAGCACCTCTTTTCGGCATACAAATTGGATGCAACACCAATTTGGACTATTCAATCTTCCTATATACATATATGCATATATATATATAGATATATAAATTGGAGAGTTTAAAAGGGAGAGATTGGTTAAAAACTGTAGAGAAAAGCCAGATTGCTAGTGCATTGTATATAATTATAGTACTTATTGTAAAAGTGTAAACTTAGGAAGGTTCATGACTGTAGAATCAGTTGACTGTCAAGAGTGATACAAAGTTTAGAGGTGGTTAATTACTTTTATTTAATTTAGATTAGTACTGATCGTGCATCCTTAATTGGAAGATTAAGTCTCACATGTTTCCATAAAACCAAGATTTCATCAATTTGGAATAAGCGTGCTATAGGGTCAAATAAGCGTCCTATTTGGTCAACCTCCTTTGCTGTCACGAGGACACTGTCCTGAGGTCTTGATACTCGGACAAATATACACAACACCTCTTTTCGGCATACAAATTGGATGCAACACCAATTTGAACTATTCAATCTTCTTATATACATATATGCATATATATATATATATATATATATATATATATATAAATTGGAGAGCTTAATAAGGAGAGATTGGTTAGAAACTGTAAAGAAAAGCCAGATTGCTAATGCATTGTATATAATTATAGTATTTATTGTAAGTGTGAACTTAGGAAGGTTCATGACTGTAGAATCAGCTGACAGTCAAGAGTGATACACAGTTTAGAGGTGGTTAATTACTTCTATTTAATTTAAATTAGTATTGATCGTGCATCCTTAATTGGAAGATTAAGTCTCATATGTTTACATAAAACCAAGATTTCATTAAATTGTAATAAGCGTGCAATATGGTCAAATAAGCGTCATATTTGGTCAACCTCCTTTACTGTCACGAGGACACTATCCCGAGGTTATGATAGTGGGACAAATATACGCAACACCTCTTTTCGGCATACAAATTAGATGCAACACCAATTTGGACTATTCAATCTTCCTATATATATATATATATATATATATATATATATGGTCGTCGTCCTACCGTAAACTTGAAGAGTGTGAATTTTAGACGAGGGCCAAGAGTTTTACATTTATAGAAGCCACTACTACCTTTCACTATAACTATAACTAGGGCGAGTAGGGATCATTCTAAGGGATTGTGAGGGTCGAACAAAGTTGTGGAATCGCTATTAGGGCTAGTAGGTCGAGTGATTAAACAATTGGTTGGTTGGTTGATTAGATTAGAGAGTAACTAAATTAAACTAAGTGATAATAAAAGAATGCAATTAAGAGCAAATAAGAGAGAGAAGAGTCTTAGGGTTTAGAGATCACCACCAAGTAATGCATTTCTATACCATTGACAAGTGACTAATGAGAGTAAATGGTGTGTTACAATATTGGTGTGTGTGTGTGTGTGTGTGTGTGTGTGTGTGTTTGGTTGATTCAACAAGTAGGGAGGGCTAGTCAAGCATGCATTGTCTAAACATCATGTGAACGGCACAATATATTTAAGCAATGAAACATATATTGTCTAAACAACATGTGAAAGGCACAATAGATCAAAACAAATCATTAATCCTTTCATTAAGCTCACAATCCAAATACAACATAAGGTCAAAGACATATGCCACTTGTATTCAAAAGTTTGGATCATCAAATAATAAGCATGGATTGTCTTCCTATTTAACACTACACTACAACTACATTACATCTACACTACTAGCATGAAAATAAACTAAGGGAGAGGCACAATCCATCAAGGAATAAGTATGAACCATCAATAAAATCACAAGAGCATTCCATTAAGTACTATGTTTTGACAATCTCTAAAGCTATAGCATCAATACACATAGACATGCATCAATAACACTAAATCTAGAGACAAGCACATGAGCATCTATTCTAACATACATAGACATATAAATATAATGAAATGATCAATTGGAAGCATTAAATCACATAAATCATTGAACAATCAAGATCTATATAAATCAAAGTGTCAAAACATCAATTACAACACTAATCCCTCAATAATACACAAGATTAAGATATAGAAAGCATGATTAGTGCTAACTCTAGTCCCAAGAGGATGTCTAGCCACTCATGGTGATGTTGCTTCAACCCTCAAGGACTAACTCCATGGAAGAAATTTGCTCCTTGTTGATGAAGAACTCCAATGGTGTCTCTAGCCTCTTCCTTCTCTAAGCTTGCCTCCTTTGAGAATAATCCCTAGAATTGTATGTTTTTCAAAAAGTGCATCATATTCTTTTTATAGGTAGGTCAAGTGACACACAAAATGAGTTGGGGTCGTGCAAAGAATATTCTCTAATGATTGGATAGAGGACGGATTGAACAAACTGGCTTTTTAACTTTTTTGCACTGGAGGAAGTTCGATCGATCGAACCTTGGACTTGGATCGATCGAACTTGGTTTAGATCTATCGAACTGAGGTTGGATCGATCCAACTAGTTGAGCTTTTTGGGAAAAGAAAAATCCGAGATATTTTGGGAGATATTTTTGGGAAGAGGACAAAAGTGGTTAGTGGGTGGTACAACTGTGGATAAGATCAATCATTTGAATAAAGACAAAAGTGTTCGATCGACCGAAGGGTGGTGTTGGATTGATCGAACTTTGGACTTTATGCTTTGGGTCAAGGTTTGGATCTATCTTGAAGTACTGAGATCGATCAGTGTTCGATCGATCGAACCTTGAAGTTGGATCGATCGAACTTTGCTGCTTCCCACCTTTGGCTTCATTTGCTTCTTTCTTTCTCCACTTTGCTCATTTCTTTATTTAATCCCAAAATTGCTTCAATTAAGCTTTTATTTGGCTGAGTTAACTTATTTTCGGGATAAGTGTCTGAAAATGAAAATATTACGAAATCAATCTAAAATGGTAAAGTAAGATAGATAAAGGTACTAGAATGCTTAAACTTAAGTGGTTTAAATACGCACTTTTCAGCGCTCATCAATATATATAAATTGGAGAGTTTAAAAGAGAGAGATTGGCTAGAAATTATAGAGAAAAGCCAGATTGCTTATGCATTGTATATAATTATACTACTTATTGTAAAAGTGTGAACTTAGGAAGGTTCATGACTGCAGAATCAGTTGACTGTCAAGGATGATACAAAGTTTTGAGGTGGTTAATTACTTCTATTTAATTTAGATTAGTACTGATCGTGCATCCTTAATTGGAAGATTAAGTCTCACATGTTTACATAATACCAAGATTTCATTAAATTGGAATAAGCGTGCTATAGGGTCAAATAAGCGTCCTATTTGGTCAACCTCCTTTGCTGTCACGAGGACACTGTCCTTAGGTCTTGATAGTGGGACAAATATACACAGCACCTCTTTTCGGCATACAAATTGGATGCAACACCAATTTGGACTATTCAATCTTCATATATACATATATGTACATATACATATATGAACACACACACACACATACACACATATATATAGAAATTGGAGAGTTTAAAAGAGAGAGATTGGTTAGAAACTGTAAAGAAAAGCCATATTGCTAATGCATTGTATATAATTATAGTAGTTATTGTAGAAGTGTGAACTTAGAAAGGTTCATAACTGTAGAATCAGTTAACTGTCAAGAGTGATACATAGTTTAGAAGTGATTAATTACTTCTATTTTATTTAGATTAGTACTGATCGTGCATCTTTAATTGGAAGATTAAGTCTCACATGTTTACATAAAACCAAGATTTCGTTAAATTGGAATAAACGTGCTATAGGGTCAAATAAGCGTCCTATTTGGTCAACCTCCTTTGCTGTCACGAGGACACTGTCCTGGGGTCTTAATAATGGGACAAATATACACAACACCTCTTTTGGGCATACAAATTGGATTCAACACCAATTTGGACTATTCAATCTTCATATATATATATATATATATTGGAAAGTTTAAAAGGGAGAGATTGGTTAGAAACTATAGAAGTGTGAACTTAGGAAGGTTTATGACCGCAGAATCAGTTGACTATCAAGGGTGATACATAGTTTAGAGGTGGTTAATTACTTCTATTTAATTTAGATTAGTACTGATCGTGCATCCTTAATTGGAAGATTAAGTCTCACATGTTTACATAAAACCAATATTTCATTAAATTGGAATAAGCGTGCTATAGGGTCAAATAAGCGTCCTATGTGGTCAACCTCCTTTACTGTCATGAGGTCATTGTCATGAGGTCTTGATAGTGGGACAAATATACAAAGCACCTTTTTTCGGCATACAAATTGGATGCAACACCAATTTGGACTATTCAATCTTCATATATATATATATATATATATACTTTTACAATAAGTACAATAATTATATACAATGCATTAGCAATTTGGCTTTTCTCTGCAGTTTCTAACCAATCTCTCACTTTTAAACTCCCCAATTTCTATACATACATATAGAAATGTACTTATTGTAATGCATTGTATATAATTATTGAACTTATTGTAAAAGTGTGAACTTAGTAAGGTTCATGAATGCATAATCAGATGACTGTCAACAGTGATACATAATTAGAGGTGGTTAATTACTTCTATTTAACTTAGACTAATACTGATTGTGCATCCTTAATTGAAAGATTAAGTCTCACATGTTTACATAAAACCAAGATTTCATTAAATTGCAATAAGTGTGCTATAGGGTCAAATAAGCCTCCTATTTTGTCAACATCCTGTGTTATCACAAGGACACCGAGTTCTTGATAGTGGGACATATACACAGCACTTCTTTTAGGCATACAAATCGGATGCAACACCAATTCGGACTATTCAATCGTCCTATATATATAAAAGAACACTTAAAAAAACAGCTCCTAATGTACATTAACACACACATTTTGCATCAATTAAATGATAAATTAAAAATTACTCCAAATACCAATGTAACTCATCCCTTCAACACATGTGAAAAGAAATTTTACTCTCGTTGCTTATTTTATTAGTCTAGTAATTATGCTTGAACTTGAATCTATTACTAATATATAATATATAGCACAATTCCAACAAAATTTAAGTAAAAGTAATTAAATATAAAACCAAGATAACTACAAAAACTAACCATTAATTAACCTTCCGATTGCAATATCAGTTTAGAATCAACCCCAAAAAAACATTGATTCAACATACACAGAAATTGATCAATCATCATTCACCAGAGAGAGAAATCGAAAAGGACCCAACTCATACCAAAGAACTAATTGATGGAAAAAACCCTAAACCCCCAAATATATCAACAAGTTGGATGGATCAAAGCTCTGTTTTCTCCAACTTGAATTCGACCGATCTTTGCCACTGTATCGCCTTCTTGCCTTCTTCAGTGAGCGGGAGAGAGATCCAGAGCACACCTTGGTTAAGCTCCGCCTTGATTTGATCCATATCGCATAACAATGGACACCCTGGAATGGTGCCATTGTAGAGGCCTCCTTCGTACCCATGCTTGGGTTCGTTCTTGCACTTTCCCGCGAAAACTATGTCCTTCTTCTTGTCAACCCACAGATCCAAATCCTTTGACCCTAAACCAGGCAGGTCAAGCCTGATCCTATAGAACTCGTCTCGCACCAGTTTAATCTCGTATGGGATTCTCGGGCCATATTCACCATCATCATTCGCTCCTATACATAACAATTAACACAATCAACACCAATAAATAGGTAAGAGAAACAACAAATTCAACTCAGATCATACCGATTCAAACAGAGAAATCATATCAGTAGAGTACTGTTTGGAGCGCCAGTTGAAACAACAGTAGTAAATAAGTAAGAGAAACAACAAATTCAACACATATTATACAGATTCGAAGACGAATGGTCGGTATGAGAATATTTATGCAACCTTTGAGATTAGATCGCTGTTTGGAGCCGGGGCCGGCGTCGGACTCCGAATCGGAGTCGGAGTCGGAATCGCTTCTCCGAATAGGGACTGTGCATAGCGAACGAGACGCGGAGGGAGTGGCCATCGGAGGTGATAGATGGGAGCGGAGGAGCTTCGTGAGGCCACTGGCGGTGGCGAGAGAGCTTCGTGAGCTCGTCGAAAGAGCGGCGGTGTGAAGTGAACGAGCGGCGGCGAAGGGAGCGGCCATCTGAGGCGAGTGAAGGAGCTTCATTAGACCAGTGGCGGTGGTGAGAGCTCGTGAAGACGCCATTATCGGAGCTTTTCTAGGGTTTCTGTACATTTGTGCGAGAGAGATTGTGTGTGTGGAGATGATATATACTGAGACGTGACGTGTCAGCATTTCTGTTCGTTGATAGATGCTAGAGGGGAAATATACTTTTATGTATCGCACGAGTATTCAACTAAACCTCCTAGCCGTTGGATTTTTTCCCTGATTGATGAATCCGTGAAAATAGTGATTTCAATTGGAAGGGGAATCGTTAATGTTTTGGTACGAATTTAATAAAATACATTTTATTTTTAGATACCAAATGAATGTTACAAATTTCTGAATTTAAAGACTAGATGAATTTTTTTTTTTTCAGTATTGATAATATAATAAATATCACAATTGTACAAACATGCTCTTATTTTGTTATTTTCAAAAGGAGAATTGTGACTCACATATAATTTGAGGCAAAGAGAATATAAATATATCTTATTAGACTAATAAAAAAAAATGGTAAAATTCATAATTACTTGACTAATTTATAATTGTGAAAGATTGTACAAGTACATATGCCTCGATATTGCATAATATTTTTCTTATAGTAATTCGTTTTTATTATTAGGATAAATCTAAAATTTGACTTCTATAAACTCACAATAAACAGGAAGACTCATATAGCCATATAAGATATTAATCTAAATGCATTTTTTTTTTCTTATATAAACAAATCCACATTTCCGTGTAATATAAATTTAACCAATTGTCATCTACTTAAATGAATTGACTAAAAATTTACTAAAAACTTTAATCAAGCTTGGTACACCAGACGAGTTTCTTGCCAAGATAATACTAACGATTAAAAATAAATTGACTAAAGTTTTGAACAATCCAAATAAGCTAATTTCTGAAAAAATTCAAATAAGTTAAATTTTTAAATAACATTATAGTCACCTTTTATCATTTTGCTATAGCACCAAAAAAAGAGCGACACAGTACCATTTTGGCATTTTGTAGGGCCTGAATCATTTATAAAACATAGGAAGAGGAACAGGCCAAAATGGTCTAACAACCACATAGTGGATCAGAGATTTGTCTCCACAACAGACCTAAAGGCTGGGTTCTACCTGGCTAACTCTGAGGGGTGTGTGTACCAATTCTTTGACTGTTATTCATTTTTATTAATTGTTTGATTTTGGTATTATTATCAATATAATTCACCTCAAATCTGAAGAAATTTCAAATTTTAAAATATTTGGACATGTTTGGTTTGTATCAAAAAGCAAGACTGTTTTGCTATAGCGCCAAGAAAAAGGCCAAAATGGTACCACGTCCATAGAAATAGGGAAATTTGTCTCCTACAAAAAAGGGAAGCTATCTCCAACTACAGAGTCCTCCCTAATCTTTTTGCAGGTGGGCTGAAAGTTGAAACCACAGTCAAGTTAAGAATTCTGAAGTGTGTGTGTTTGTATGTGTGTGTGTGTGTATATATATATATATAAATTATCATCCGTACGGAGTAATGTAAACACTCGTTGCATTAAGAGTTACTAAACAATTTTCAATAAGATTAAGTTAAAAAAAAAAAATGCTTAGATGATTTGTCACTCTCATTCATAGTCAACCCTATTCTTCTAATTACGAGTTAACAAAATCTACTCATTAAACATTAAACATGCATATTAGTGAGCTTTATACTTGAAACCACACAGTTAACGGTTAAAAGTTAACCCCCCAAGTGTTCCGTCAACTTGTTTCACGTTTTCAAGAAATAGGGTGCATGTTAGCAACCACCTGTACTATTATCAGTCCCTGCAACTCCCTCTGGTATATTTTCTTGGTTGCCAAACATAAGAATTCCATAGAAAGTGACAGAAAATAAACAATAAATAATAGAAGAAACAACGCTTTACTTCAAATATGAAAATACTACTTCATTCATCCAAATTTATATCGTCCAAATTCAGCCAAGATTTACCAGTAGCAGTGAGAGATTCAGAGAAACACAGACATGAACACCAAAAGAAGCACCATTAACAAGACAAGAACAAGCTAAAGAAGAAAATGACTGATCGAGAAATTAGCGAGTCAGTTGACCTCGATCGGGAGAACATCGCTCCTTTCTTCGAACTTCACCTTCGGGATGACAACATTGAGAACGCCATTTTTGAGCTCTGCTTTGATCTGATCCACCACGAACCTTCCCTCAGCAAGCTCAATAGCGGCAAAGTAGCTCCTCGCAGTCTCTGAACCAGAGGCCTCGTCTCCCGTGACTATCAGAGCTCCCTTCTCAACCCACACCTTCGCTTCCTCTTTTCCAATTCCCGGCATGTCGAACCTTCCATATTTCGCTTCTTCATCTTCCTTGACATCCAACGAGTCCACCGACCCTTTTCTCAGAAGCCGATTCTTGTAAGGACACTCTGAAGTTGAAACAAACAGTAGTAAATACATAACAAAAACAAACAAACAGTAGTAAATACATAACAAAAACAACAAATTCAACACAGAATCGTTCGAGAAATTTAAAAAATAAAAAATAAATTCAACACAGATCATACATACTAGAAGAGATATAACAAATTCAACGCAGATCATACATACTAGAAGAGAAATGATATGAGAAATTAATGATAGAGCAGTGTTTGGAGCTGAAGTTGAAACAACAGTAGTAAATATGCAAGAGAAACAACGAATTCAACACAGATTTGAAGAGAAATGATTTGAGAATTTATACAACCTCTGAGAATCTTAGAGCACCGTTTGAAGCTGATGTCGTCGAAGGGATCCGAATCGGAGTCGGAGTCGTGGGAGTCCGAACCGCTTGTCGGAACAGGGAATGTGCGAAGGGAACGAGCTGCGAATGGAGTCAACATCTGAGGTGAGAGGTCTGACCGGCGGAGCTTGGTGAAATCGCTGGTCGGAAGAGCAGTGACGGTGCGAAGTGCACGAGCAGCGAAGGGAGTGGCCATCTGAGGTGTGAGACGCGAGCGGAGGAGCATCAGGAGACTAGTGGCGGTGGTGAGAGCGCGTGAAGACGCCATTGATGGAGCTTTTCTAGGGTTTCTGAATATTCACTGTGTGTGTGTGTGAGAAATCGTGAGTGAAGGTGAGAGAGACCGAGGAGGGGTAAATATGGGGGTGGAGACGTGACTGACAGTTAGTGTGCTTTTGTGGCTCGGTAACAGCTGGCTAGAGGAAATTATATGATGTATCGCACGACTATTGAACTGCTTCTCCTAGCCGGGTGATGTTCATCAAGATTTGATCAATATGTAAAAATAGTGATTTCATTTGAATAGGGAATCAACTTAGATGGTTGATTAAAATGAATTATAAAATTTAATTAAGATTTCAATGAAATAAATTTCTTTGAAAATAATAAGAAGTCAATATATAAATTGTCTAAATTTAAAGAATAATATATAAAAAAATTCAACATTCACATCATATATCACATTTTCACAAGCTCATTTCTTCAAACTTTATGCAGTACCATTTCTTTTAAAATTAATATTTAAGTTTCTATCACATCTTTGAGTGACAAAAACAGATAAAATATCTAATTTTTTGTTAATATTAAATTGTGAAAGATTTATAACTTTGATTCGCTGGGAACATATCTCTTATATAAGTTTGTTCTTTATTTTTGTTCACTTTTAAACTTCTAAGTGTCCACTATTCCATATATATATATTTTTTAAGCAATACCTTGAATAAGGCAAAACCTTATGCCACAATAATCATCAATAGACATATATATATTTTCAGTAAATATAGACATGTATATGTTTGTAATTATATAATTAAATATATATGTATAATTATTAGTATGATTTCAGTTCCAAAATGGTTGTACCGGTTCTTTGTGCACTCTTAATCTTAACTATTTTTTATATTTTTTTTGAAAAATCAAACAATTATATAAATTTTGGATAAATGCGTACAAGGAGGCCAATGCCCAAAAAGAAGAAAAATACAAACACCAAAAGCAGGCCCAAACCATACCCCAAAAGCAGTCCCCAAAGCAGGCTTAGAAAAGCATAGACTATGTCAGTCCAAACAAATCAGGCCCATAGGCCCAATCTCAAAACGGCCATTTGATAGTGTGTACAAGTGTATTTTTTAAAAAAAAAAAATTAAAAAAAAAAAAATTTCATCCACACGAGGAAACATCGACCAAATAACGATAAACAATGATAAAGATAAATCAGGGTTGCACACGGTCCGATTTGTACCGAATTGGAAATTTTTTGGGACCAAAGCATTTATAACAGTTCTACTATTTTTGAAACCAGACTGAATCATAATGCCCATGGAATCAAACTAAATCAAACCACAAAAAACCGATTTGGTTCAGTTCGGTTTGTTAGTTTAAGTTGATTTCCTTTCTATTTTATTTTTTAAAAACATAATTTTTTTATTTTTCCCTGTATATAATATAGACATATTCAGTATATATATTTATTACAATTTGACAAAAACTACTCTTCCACTCTAGTATTTAAAGAACCAATATTCTCCTCTGGTCCCTAATAGTTATGCTTTATTTTTGCCCCATTTGGTCTCTAATTGCGTAGTTCTTTATTGTTTGATAATTTTCATATGATATTTTTTTTATTATGGCCCATCATTTCATTTTCTTTATTTCTCTCTTTGCTAGCTTTCATCATGGCGTGACAAAAGTTCAAAGAATATGAGAATTAGGTAGATTGGGAATAGCTTTATTGAGAAAGGTGGGAAATGGGAGTAGCTTGTATCCGTCCAAAACTATTAGTTATATCATATATATATATATATATATATATATATATATAATGGTTCGGTTCGGTTCTGGCCGGGCCGGTCTAGTCCAATAGGACCCCAAATCAGGACCGGACCATAAAATTAAGGTTTCATAATTTTGGACTCAAGATCGGACCAAACCACTATATAACTAGCCCAAATCGTTCGGTTCATTTTGGTCGAGTCCGATTTTTCGGTGTTTGCCGGATTTTTTGAACACCCCTACAATAAACAATGAAAATAGAATTTTAAAAAAAAAGGAACTTGGGTAAATCCCATTCCATCTCAAAATCACAGCAACAGTTCAATTCTATCTTCACTGCCTATCTCTTCTTCATTGAATGCATCACGACTTTATTGTGTGTGCATATATATTTTTGGTAAGTCAAATAATATAAAAGGTAAAAAAATGTACAAATTACAATGGTTGGCCACAAATAATTTACCAAAGCAATTGAAAAAGCTTTTTGATTTATTTATGGTCGTCCGTTGTAGTCAATTTCCCCTAAGTCAGTCCAAGGCCCTTATATGATTCAGTTTTTAAGAATTGTTTTATGCTTTTTGAAGATTAAAATTAATAATTTCGTGAAAGAAACTAACTATATATAGTTTGGATTAATCATATTCAGCCAACTTTTACTTTATGTGTAACCAAAGTAGTTCAATTTTCTATCTCTAATCATTGAGATGGATTAATGTAGGAGGAAAGTGTGACAATGAATTTGAGTCGCCTTTGGTATATTTTCTTGGCTGCCAAACATAAGAATTCCTTAGAAAGGGACAGAAAATAAACAACAAATAATAGAATAAACAATTCCCAAAAAGATTACTTCATTGACAGATTCACAAAAACATGTATGAAAATTAACCAAAAGAAACAACTACCATTAACAAGAATGAGGAACTAAAGAAGAAAATGAGTGATGGAGAAATGAGTGAGTCAGTTGATCTCGATAGGGAGAACATCCTTCCTGTCTTCTAACTTCACCTTGGGGATGACAACCTTGAGAATGCCATTTTTGACCTCTGCTTTGATCTGATTCACCACGAACCTTCCCTCATCAAGCTCTATGGAACCGGAGTACGTCCTCGCAGTCTCTGAATCCGCCGGCTCCTCTCCTTTGATCACCACAGTGCTCTTCTCAACCCACATCTTCAAGTCCTTTTTTCCGATTCCCGGCATGTCAAACCTTCCATATTTCGCTTCGTCATCTTCCGTCACATCGTACGGCTCCACCGTTCCTTCTTCTCCCTCAACCCGATTCTGATTCAGATTCTTCTCTGAAGTTTAAACAAACAACAAATTTAATTAAAAAATAATACAACAAATTCAACACAGATCATTTGTACTACCTTTGATAGTCTTAGAGAAAGTCCGTTTGGAGCTGAAGTCGGCGTCGGTCTCCAATACATCGTAGTCGGAGTCGTAGTCTTCATAGTCAGATTCGCTTATCGTTATCGGAGAAGCGATTGTGTCAATTGAACGAGAGGGAGTGGCCATCTGAGGTGAGCGGAGGAGCTTCGGGCTACCAGCGGTGAAGGTGGTGCGAGAGTCGGATTTCGGATCGGAGTTGGCTTTGATATCTCTGGTCGGAGAGGCAGTGACGGTGCGAAGTGCACGACCAGCCAAGCTAGTGGGCGCCTGAGTTGTAGGACGTGAGCGGAGGAGCTTCATGACAAGTCGTGAAGACGCCATTGATGGAGCTTTTCTAGGGTTTCTGAATATTCACTGTGTGAGAAATCGTTAGTGAAGGTAGATAGAGACTGAGGAGAGAGGTATCTACTATAATATGGGTGATACAGGGTGGAGACTATATATAAGTACATAACTACTAATCCTCACCGCGAGCCTGTGAAAACGGTTATTTAAAAAAAATGGACATTGTAAATAATATATATATATATATATATATATAGGAAATAATAGACTTATAACAACAAATAAATAAGGTAGTGAATGCTATTAATATCAACAGAAAATGATATACAGTATTGTCCTATTAATTGTATATATGAATAAATATACTAAATTAACTATATGAATGCAATTGTCCATAAGTCAATATGTTACTACTGAAACTCTGTGTCAGTAATTCAAACTTTGTTTCTATTGACAAACTTTGTTCTATCATATGTGAATCATCTGTCGCCCTATTAGTCCATTTATTGTTACATACATCTATGGTGGAACGGTTTATATTGATATATATTGATATTCGTCGGAATTTTTGCATAACTATAATGCGAACATATTATAAATATATACTTCGTGCAAACGAATATGCTATATGTATTGCACGAATATGCTATATGTATATATGCTTCAATGGGTAAGCACAACAACATTATATATTTATAAAAAAAAGAAATAAAAAAAAATAAAAAAATAAAAAAACAACAACAACATTATATTAGGGGTTTACCTGAAGTCTGTCTCTCAAGTTCTTCTCTTCGTGTTATTGAGAGCTAGCATTGATAGTTCATTCGGTGTGTGTATATATATAGGTATTGAATGTGAAACCTGTTGCCAATTCTCTATAATGGATTGTCTAGTGATCGCACCAATCCAATATAATATGAAAGGTAAATTATAGAGAAGGAAATCGAACTAAATAAGGAAATCGGTTATTAAAAAGTAAATTATTTATTTAGTTTATGTGAAGAAGAATTTTTAATTAATATAGTTTATGCTTCAATAATATTAAACAAAGTTAATATATCACTAAAAATAAATTGCTAATTTTAAAATATATCACTTATTAGTTTATGTCAAAAAAAACTCATTTAGTCATTGATATATAAAATAAAATAAAAACTTTGAATAAATAAAAAATAAATCGAATTAGAGTAACAAATAGAACTTATTAGAGTAGTTTACGTGCAAAACACTTCTTAATTAATAGAATTAGTTTTCAATAATATTAAAAAATTAAATTAATAAATTACTAAAAATAAATTATTTATTTAAAAATATATTACTTATTTAGTTATTAATGTTAAAAAACTTAAATTTACCCAAAAAAAAAAATGTTAAAAAACTTAAAATAATTTATAATAACTTACTTATTAATTTTTTTTGTTTTCATAACCCTAATTCAATACAATGCTTTTATGCATTATTTTTTTTAAAAAAATTAAAATAATTTATAATAATGCACTTATTGTTTGGGTTTTCATAATCCTAATTCAATAAACGCTTTTTATTTTATTATTATTATTATTTATTTATTGGCATGTCCATTTGGAAGCTTCAATTCCCATCATTCACTTTGGAAGTAAAAGAAATACCAATAGATCACAATATAATACAAAGATTAGATTTTGTAGAGAGCAATATGTCCAAAAAAAAAAAAAAAATTTTAATTATAACTCTTAAAACATGGAAAATAAGTTATAACCATAAAATGCTACGATCTAGGAACTGTTATATGCCCAAATGATAAAGACTAAATTATACTGATATTTCCTTAAGTTGCCTAACATATGAGTGTGCTGAACGACATACTTGACAAAAAAAGTTTCACGACAGATCTGTTAAACAGTTTATTTATTTATTTTAAATCCCGTTTTACCCTTTTCTTGGATGAAAAGTTAATAATAGCGTTATGTATGTAATAAAATAAGAAAAAAAAAAAATCCAATTGCACTTTGACCTATATGTTCACATAGTGTGCATATGTATATCCACATGGGCAGAGCCAGAATTTTTATTTAGAGGTGCAATGTAAAAAAAAAAAAAAAAAAAAAAAAAAAAAAAAATTATAATTTAAATAAGAATAACAAAAAAAAAAATTACATACTATATACATCATTCTTAAATAAAATAAGAAAAATGTTAAGAAGTAGGGGGCCAAATAAATTAATAAGAAGAAGAAAAAGAAAAAAAGGAAAAAAATGATAAATTTGAAAGGAAAAAAAATTAGAATTTGAGTAAAGAAGGAAAATTTATTTATTTATAAGGAAATCAAAGAAATATTAAGAGCAAAAGAAAATGGAAAGAAAATTTTAGAAAATAATTTTAGAAATTTATAATTTTGGGACATAATATAATTTTTTTTTTTTTTTATAAATGTACAAATTAGAATTAAAATTATTATATTTTATAGTGTGTGGGGCTAGACAAGGAGGGGCATGCGCCGGGCACACACGGGCTCCATCCCTGTATGTCCATATAGTGTGTGTATATACAGGGACATTTTTTTGGAGTATATATTCTGCAATTTCTACGTACCCCCACAAATGTACTAAAACCCATTTTCCTTCTCAAGGCACACCACTAACCTCTGCGCATTCTAGCACCACACAAAGCCCACTGAACTCAACCAAACCTTGAGATCCAAAGAAATGGGCTTCGCCGGAAATTTTCTCTCTCTAACCTTAGTCTCTCCCCTTGTCGTCATGCCGCCGACGATGGCTTAGACTTCTCACTCTGGTGCAGCTGAGGATATACTTCGGCGACATGAAGCTCCCTCAGTAGAGTGATGAACCAAAGAAACCTACGGCCTCTGATATGATGAGAGAATGAGTGAAACATGGAGGGAAGTAAGGGTGTGGGTGCTTGAGAAAAGATGAACAAAAACCCTAAATTTCTCTGATGAAATGATCAAGATCGAGAGATATGAAGCAACTAAGGGAAAGAGTGTGTTGGTCGACTAAGGAAAACAGTGTTGTTCTTTGTGATAGAACTTTAAAACTTTAACATTATACCTGCCATAATATAATATAAGCTGCAATAAAATCTTGAATTATATTTAAATTTGTAAATAATCACATTGAATTATATTTTGTGTATAAAATTTCTTAAATTATTTTATTTTGTTGCAACATACCCTAAAAAATATACTATATTGCATTAAATAACCTTAATGTCCCTTCTTATTGAATTATATTTAATATATTTTTCGTATCTAAATAAATTATAAAAAAATTTGATGAAATATTTCCAGTAAATTTAAATAAATTTATCTTTAATTTTTTTAATGAATTACTTAAATAGATTTTTTTTTTAAAAAAAATTAATTAATTTTTAACTTTTAATGAATATATTACGTGAAAAGAAAGTATTTTTTTTTCAAAGGTATTTTATTACCTTTTCATCAATATATTGTATGAAAAAGATGATATTTTTTTTACGATAAAAATGTTTAAATTGGTTATAATATGTTTTACTATAAATAATAAAGTTTATATTTACATAAGAGAAAATATAATAAAAATAATTTAATAAGAAATAAAAATTTTAATGAGCAAGGGTAAAATAATCTTTTGTAATAAATTTGTCTTTAATTATAATAAATCAATAATTTAAGAAGGTAATTTTTTATTTAAAAGAATTATTTGCAAAAGACAATAATTTAAAGGGAGGTTTTTTTTTTTTTTGCATCTTAATTGACTTGTTCCGAAAAGGTTAAATTAATCAATTTTGATTAGTGTGTAATTTGTTGAAATCTCAATGACATTAATGTAATTTAATCTAGTACTTAAAAAAAAAACGAACACAAAAAAACAAAAAAAGGAAAAGGAAAAGGAAAAAGCCAAACCTATCCTATATAATGCTACCCTCAGTCTCGATAGCTGAAACCCCAAAACCCAGAAAAACCCTAGAAATTAAGCTCCAGCAATGGCATCAACAAGAGCTCTCACCTCAAGCTACTCTCTCGCCTCTCTCGTGAAACTCTTCTCGCCAATGAATGCCTCTCCGATTTTGGTTCGTACTCTTCGCACCTGCGCTGTTCCCGAAACCACTTCCGATTCCGACTGGGATACACCGGCAAACGAATCGGACTCAGAACCGGTTCCTACGGATCCCAACAGTAAGAAAAACAGAGCATTGAACTGTTAATTTTCTACATGTTTAACTTGATCTGTGATTTGATTTGTGGTTGAGTTGTTTCAGTTTGTTTTCTGGTGAACCCATTTCTGAAAGACGGGCCGGCGATTCCCTACAGAGTGAAGAAAGACGAGGAAGCGATGTATGCGAGGTTGGACATGCCGGGGATCGGAAAAGAGGGACTGAAACTGTGGGTGGAAGACAACCGTCTGGAGGTCAGGGGAGCGGAGGAGAGTTGCCCGAGGCAGTTCTCCGGCTACATCAAGCTCCCTCAGGGCTTCTACAAGCCGGAGGAGATCGCGGCGGAGATGAAGAACGGCGTGCTCAAGGTCAAGGTCCCAAAGCTCAAGGTCGAGGATAGGAAAGATTTCATCAATGTGAATGTCAAATGAGTTGTTTCCAGTTCTTGTTTTGGGTATATAATATGGTTGAATGGAAGCTTATAATTTTGTATTAGAAATTATTTTCTGTGTTAATTTTAATTTCTTCTCTCATTTTGTGGGCACAAACAGTAACATTTGGTCCCAATTGGGAGAAGTGTAGTATGAAGGGAACAAATTATAATAAATGCTAGCGTTTAATTGCACTATTAATATTTGAAAATTAAGAAAATCAAGGGGCAAGTATTGTGCAATGTTTTAGTATATTAAGATAATATTAAGATTTATATGAAAAATGGAATAAATCAGTTTATGAAAATAAATGAGTCAAATGAGGTTGGCTGCATCACAAAAGTTCAATAAAAGGCACTGTTGAATGTTGATCAATATTTAAAACCATATTTTAAATTTTCCCGGAAAGTAACCATGTTTTACCGTAAATGTTGTTAAATATTAAGCACTGTTAAATATTTGCACGCATCTCATCATTCATTTGAGGAAGAGAAATTATACGGTAGTTTTGTGAAAATTTTCTATCCTAATAGAACTAGAACTTTTGAGTCCAAATCGTACACAGGCAGTGAATTAATAGATACAGCATGTCAGCAGTTCTCTCTGAAGGTCATCAATGGCACCACGTAGGAACCAGAACCAGAAGTTGACTGCAAGAAGAACTAGGGTTCTTTTCCTCTGACAAAAGGATGCAAGGGATTCTTATGATGGAGTAGAAAGGGAAAAAATCTTCTGTTTGTAGATTTGAATTTGATTATATGATGAGAAATAGAAAGATGACTCACATCGGAGTTTTGGAGGGAATTAATGATTTTTGGTGGCATACACCAAAAGGGAATTATAGGGCTATATAGCCTATAGGATAGAGGGCAAAGCCCACATAGGTTCGAGGGTCTGATTGGGTCATGAGTCATGTGATGCTGATGTTTTTGTGAAATGAGACCACAGCAGACTCTGCTCGTTTGGTAACTGACTGCAACCTTTTTCTCTTTTTCCCCCGTCTCTATGTCTATTTCTCTCCGTCTATATATATATATATATATTTATTGAATTCCACCAGAAAATTTGGTAGTTTTTGTCCAATGATTTTACCTAGCTTTAGTATAATGCTCCGATTTTTTTAAAATAAATATTTTCTCAAATTCTATTAAAAAATCTTAAAATAAGGGTTACTTTTAAAAGTCAATATATAAAACCAAAACTAAATGCTTGTTAATTTACAAAAGCTTTTCAAAGCTAATAATTTAAAAGGGTTATGAAAATTAAATCAATTAATGTTATACCAAACATGACTTGAAGTTGAAATCTTAAACATAAATTCTAAGCACACTACCAACTTGATTATCATACTCTTATAACTTAAATATAATTATAAACATATGTAATATTTTCGAACTCGAGTTGGGTTTCAGAATTCATCCATATTAACTCAAGTCCAACCCGAATTGAATTTGGGCTCAAAATATATAGTCCAGACTCTAATCAAAATTAGAAAAACATTGCTTAATCCCACAAAATTTTAGACTGGACTCGAGTTATTTCGAATTGGACCTGCCCAAGTTGCAGTCTTAGTTGACGCTAATTTTACTCTTCAGCCCACCATCAAAGAGTCACCATGTACTACTCGTTTAGTCATTCAAGTTTGCGACCACAAAAATACAACAAAATTAAGTTATGTATGATTACTGATATCTCTAAATTGAGTTGTTTTGTGTTTTTTAAAAATTGAATAAAAAACGTACAAAGTTAACCATTCCTCTCGGAGACTCCTTAATCATTGGTTCGCCACGGAGTCTCATGGAAACTTTTAGCTACTCAAAATTGAGAAAATCTTGCTTAATTGCTCTATTAAAATTTCAAAATTACGAAAATCAAGTGTGTAACTTAGTATATTAAGATCTATGTGAAAAATGGAAGAAATCAGTTTATGAAAAAAAAATGAGTCAAATGAGGTTGGCTGCGTCACAAAAGTTCAATCATGGCACTGTTTGTTTTTTTTGGATGACCCTAGGAAACCGAAGTTTCGCCCCAATTAATTTTGTCGAGGATTCAAGAAGGGTGGCCTCCCCACCTCGAGATGGATAATTCGCTAAGTATGATAGTATAGTATTGGCCCCAAGTTATCGTAAGCTTCATTTAGAATCGAAGCTCAAACATTGGTGCTAGTAAACACTCCAACCCAAGTGATTTTATCACTAAGCCAACATTTTGGGGCTCAATCAAGGCACTGTTGATCAATATTTAGAACCATATTTTCTTCCTTTTTTTTCCTTTTTTTTTTTTTTTTTTTTTTTTTGGGGCAAGTAACCATGTTTTGAAGTAAATATTCTTAAAAATATTAAGCACTGTTAAATATCTGCACGCATTCTATCCTAATAGAACTATAACTTTAAGTCCAAATCGTACACAGGCAGTGAACTAATGGTGTTTTTTAATGAATACATCATGTCAATGGTTCTTTTTGAAAGTCATCAATGGCACCATCTAGGAACCAGAACTAGGGTTCTTTTTCTCTGACAAAAGGTTGTAATGGATTATTATGATGGAGTAGAAAGGGAAAATATTTTCTTTTGCACATTTGAATTTGAGTCTATGATAGAGAAATAGAAAGATGCCTCTGATATTGAAGTTTTGGAGGGAATTAATGACTTTTGGTGGCATACACCAAAAAGGGTATTTAGGGCAGGCAATACGAATATTAGGGCTACAATTTGGGCTGGGCCAACCCGAATTTACTCGAGTCCAGCCCGAAATTTTCAGGGCTTGGACAGTATTTTTCTGTTATAGGTCTGGGCTTGGGCTAGATATTCTGAACCCGAATTAAATTCGGGCTAGGCTTGGGTTGATATTATATAAAACCCGAAACTCAGTCCGAGGCCGAAAAGGATATATTTATTTTAAAATTATGTTATTTCACAAGTGTATAATATCTTAATTGGTAGCGTGTTTGGAATTTTTCTTGGAAGAATGTTGTTCGAGTCCTTATAGCTGCACCAATTTCTTATTTTTTACATTTTGAATACAGAGACGTGGGCTCATGGGCAGGCTTGGGCAGGAGAAGTTAATTATGGGCTGGGCTTGGGTGGCTGGGATTGGGCTTTAGGTGAACTCAGGCTGAGCTTGGGCAAAAATTTTTATGCATGAACTGAGTCCGAATTAAGTCTCCAGTCCGCCTAATCCGCCCGAGTTGTAGTCTTATACAGGATATAGGGCAGTGCCACAGAGGTCCAAGGGTCTGATTATATATCTTAGGTGGGTCCATAAGTCATGTGATGCGGATGTTTTTGTGAAATGAGTCTTTGTGAAATGAGTCCACAGCAGACTTGAACTGACTGGGTGATAAATGCAACCTTTTTCTGTCTCTCTTTATATATTTATTTATTGATAAATGCAACCTTTATATGCCAGAATCCACCAAACAAGGGTATTTGTGTAAAAGTTTTTAAAATTAATTTAAAACAAAATCTTTCAAAAAGCTTTCAGGAAAAAGAATACAATAAAGTAAATAAACAGTCAGGATTGAAGCTAATTTCAATCTTCAGCACATCATCAAACAGTCACCGTGTACTTACTTGTTTAGTAATTTTGTGACCACAAAAATACAACAAATTAAGTTACGTATGATTATTGATATCTCTACATTCATTGTTTTGTGTGTGATTTGAAAATGGAATAAATAACGTCCTAAGTAAACAATTTATATCAAGAGACTCCTTAATTGTTGGTTGTCTACAGAGCGTCATGGAAATTTTTAGCCACTCATTTTGAGTATATCATTATTCTAAATTATTAACTGATTTAAACTATAGAAACTAATTTTCTAGATTAATCGAACAAAAAAAGCCCTGAATTTGCAAAATTAAATTTACCTTATCTATATTAATTTTTCCTCTCATGTAGTTACGGTAAATGTTTTGTTACTCAAATGAATGTATTTATAGGCGTAGTTGGTGTAAGCCTTTTCAAACTAGTTTTTATTTGTGATGTACTTGAGTGAGAGTTTCTATATACTTACCAAAAATTTTGAATTTTTTCAAACTAGCTTTTACTATCAATGACAAGTGTGATGCACTTAAATAAAAGTTTCTGTACACTTACAGAAATTTCAAGTTCACGTGTTCTAGAGAGAGAGCAAAGACAATGACTGAATGAGAAAGACTAGAAAATGCAATGACAATTACTTTTGTGTATGATCTTATAAAAAGATTTATTTATCAGCATCTTCAGCTATCTGTTAAAATATACACTACCACATATAATATGTAAATTTTTTCTATCTTCAGCAGTCTGTTAAGATATATTAACATATCATCAATGTGTAAAAGGATTGTATATTTTACATAATATTTTTATACTGTCAAATCAACATATTTCCTTTCTCATTCTTCTTTCTCGTTCTATTAAAAAATTATCCATATATTAAGTAGGTATATAAAAATTATGTGGGTCCTGGCATGACACATAATTGATTGTTGAGAGATATATTTTTACACAAAAGGTATAAAACAACCTTTGGAACTAAAATTAAATAATCCAAAATTTGTGTGTAAATTCATCATGACACATTAGATTTACAAAAAAAAATATATATATACACAACAGTTAGAGATGCTCTAACATATATGTAGCAACATGCAATGACTCAATTAAATTATTCTGTAAAAAAAATTCGTTAGACTAAAATAACCCTTTTATTTGAGTGCAACATATATAAATATAACTAATATATAAGTAAACCAGCATAGCATAGCCTAATCACAGTAGTTAAAAGTTACCATACTAGTCAAGGTAATAATTAGGGTTAAAATCACAAAATCACCCCCTTTACTTTTAAAACCGTGCATAAAACTCCAGTTGAATTAAATAGATATTTGAAGTAACAAAATTTATCAAATTACCCCAAATCTATGACCGACCCGTTAATTGGATTGTGAAATGACAAATTTAACATTCATATTTACTGTTAAATTAAAAGTTGAAATTATTTTTTTGAAATGAAG